GTCCTGACGGGCGGATAGACCGCGATTCGCAAACTTAGGGGCCAGGCCCAGGGACGCTCCGTAGTCATTTTGCATTTAGAATTTTGAAATCGCTTTCTTAAAGTGACGCAATCCCGATTCCTAACCTCCCCGAGCCCCACCACCAAAAAAGAAGCTGAGCTTCAGGCCTCACATACTGTGAGGCTTACTGCCCGACAAGCCTCCTCTCCGGGCCGGACACCGTCTCTGTTTGAAGACTCAAAACTACGGCCTTAACGAGGCCGTGGAGGGGAGGGGGTAACTAGCACTCGGGAGCTGCGGGACTAAACCCGGGTACGTGCGGGAGCGAGCAGAGCTGAGACCAGCAGAGGGGCGGAGTCTGAAGAGAAGGGGCGGGGCCGGGCGCCCGGGAGACCCGCGAGCCGGTGGGCGGGGCCCCCCTTGGAGTAAGACCCGCAGCCCCGGCAGCGAGGGGGCGTGGCCGGCACTGCTGCACCGAGGCTCCGCCTTCGCCCGTCCCCTTCGCAAGAGGGACGCAAGCCGGGAACTAGGAGTCGGAGGAGGCGGCGGCGGCACCGCTGGAGCGCTCCTCTCGGGGATCGGCTGACCCGGGGAGCGAGGACGTCGCTCCGCACCGCTCTTCCGCCAGCCGCCAGACCGTCCCTTCTCGCTATGTCCCAGAGCAGGCATCGCGCTGCGGCCCCGCCGCTGGAGCGCGAGGACAGCGGGACCTTCAGGTCAGCGCCGGAACAGTCGGGGCCGAGCCGGGCAGGGCCGGGAGTGGTGGGCACAAGAGGCGGGGCGGGAGAGCCCGCTTTCCAGCGGCATTCTGGGTAGAGCCCCCTCCCGGCGCTCTCGCCCCCGCGGCTGCGGGCGGACCGGCGGGCACTCGGCTCCGCCCTCTCGGCGGCGTGCGGGCCGGGGTCTGCGGCCTGGCCCCGCCCCTCTTGCGGCCTCGGTGTACGCGCGGCCGCCAGCCAGGAGAGGGTTTATGCGAAATTGGTCCTCAGGGGTTTATGCGGGATGGGTCCTCAGAGGTAGCAACCCCCGAGACCCCAGCGAATCCCCCCTACCCGCTCTCAAGTTCTCTCCCTAAAGCCCCTTTCACCCTGCCGGTTGCCCGCCACTGCGGGGCTGGGAGACTGGTGCGCTTCGCCATCGCTGGTGCTGGCCGCAGGGGAGCTTCGGCGCCTCCCGCATCACTGTTGGTAGCAGTCAAACTGGCCTCTGTATGCTTCTGCTTCCCTCCCCGCTTTGGCATGCGAAGCACACCTTTTCTGGTTTTTGCAGTTTGGGGAAGATGATTACAGCTAAGCCAGGGAAAACACCGATTCAGGTATTACACGAATACGGCATGAAGACCAAGAACATCCCGGTTTATGAATGTGAAAGATCCGATGTGCAAATACACGTACCCACTTTCACCTTCAGAGTAACCGTTGGTGACATAACCTGCACAGGTCTGTATGCTCACTTAACCCCGATGACCATGTGGGCTGGCCGGCAAGGCTTGGTATTGCTTTTCAGTTCGGAAAAGTGCCCTTTTAAAACCAGGGACAGCTGTGAGGAGCAGGCTCTTGAAACAGACCTCTCATCTCAGGTCATGGAGACTTTCCAACTTCATCTGATTCTCTCCCTCATCTTCTCCTTTCCAGATACCAAGAAAAGCTCAGAAACATGCCTTGGGATCCTCCTAGGGTTCTTCCAAGAATTAGGGAGAAGGAGGAAGGGTTCTTGGAGCAACCGTAGCTGGGTCAGTAGGTGCTGACAAGTTTCATAGTTTATAGCAGATGCCAGGAGACATCCCAAAATATTCTGAGCCTCTCCTCTCTTTGTTCATAATGTCCATCTGCATTTTAGCCCCGTTGTCCCACACTTGATTCTGTATCCAAGCAAAATGAGGACAGAGGACTCAAATGGCGTATTTCGTCGCACCTTCTAGTTACTGACTCTGTACAGGTTTTAGTAAGATGTCATCTCCCTTTTTTTTTAATTAATATTTATTTTATTTTTGAGAAAGAGAGCACGCACAGGGGAGAGGCAGAGAGAAAGGGAGACACGGAATCTGAAGTAGGCTCCAGGCTCTGAGCTGTCAGCACAGAGCCTGATGTGCCCCCAGTGTGGAGCTCAAACCCAGGAACCAAAAGATCACAACCTGAGCCAACGTAGGAAGCTTAACCAATTGAGTCACCCAGGCACCCCTCATCTCCCTCTGTATACTTGAGGAAACAGGTTCAGAGAGATTATCAGTAACATGCCCAAAGTCACACAGCAATGAAGTTTCAGAGTTCAGACTCCCCTTATTACGGTCTCTGAGCTTGAGCAAATGATGACTGAAGTTGCCCATTTGTAAATGTAGGCATTCTATGTATCTATTTAATTGCAAACACAAAAAATATTGAATACTAAATTTAATTTGGAAGAATGCCAAGAAAACAATTCCACAGGAAGGCTAGAGTTGCACCATCTGGTAAACTAAAGGCATCATTTGCTTAGGTCCCTGAAAATCTGGAATCCACTATTTTCCTTGAAACCACTTTAAGAAAATTTTGAGGCTTTTTTTGTCTATATAAGACAGGTGGATTATACATTCTAGCTAGAAGTTTCCTCATCATGAACCATACAGTCATCACATTCCTCCTATAGAAGATCTATTTTAAATATTCAGTGAAAATTTTAAGAAATGGTCTTTTTCCCTTTAAGGTGTTTTATTTTATTTTTTTTTTTTTTAATGTTTTTTTTTTATTTATTTCTAGGAGAGAGATAGAGACAGCATGAGCAGGGGAGGGTCAGAGAGAGAGGGAGTCACAGACTGAAACAGGCTCCAGGCTCTGAGCTGGCAGTCAGCACAGAGCCCGACGCGGGGCTCGAACCCACGAACCGCGAGATCATGACCCAAGCGAAAGTCGGACGCTTAACCGACTAAGCCACCCAGGCGCCCCTCTTTAAGGTGTTTTAGAACAGAGATTAATAACCTATGGCAACCAAACATTCTGTGTAGGTCCCCTACTCTCCCCACACTGCCCTGTGTTCCTGTGCAAGTTTATGTGCCTCCACAGCTTCTAATGCTATCTAAAGGCTGATAATTCTGGAATCTCTGTCTTCAGCCCAGCTCCAGTTAGAGAACAGTCTATCCACCTGTGCTTGCTGGGCATCTTCACTTGGATGACCCAAAGGCACCTGTTTCTTATTGTCCCAGACTGAATCCATCTCGTTTCCCTCAGATCTGTTCCCCTTCCATTCCCTAGCTCAGTAAAGGCACCACCATCACCTCTTTGCTCATAGTAGGAGCTGGGTTTCATTTTCTTGACTCCCTCCCGCCCCTCTTCTCTTGCCCATTCTTCCACTAAGTCTTACTTCCTAAGCATCTCTGGCGCCGGCCTGCTTCCCTTCTCTTCCCATTGCTCTTGTCTGGACCACTGTCATCTCGCATTTGGGCCACAGCTGCTGTCTTGCAGCTGCTCTTCTCAGATTCTAGTCTGAGGCTGTCCATTCCTCAGATGACACCGGCATTCAGATCTTTTCATGTCCTTCTTGCTCTTAAAATCCATTCAGTGGTTTGCCCATCATCCTCTGGATAAAGACAGGTTTCTTAATATGACTAACAGCCTTGCTTCTCAAACTGTGATCAGCAGCAACATTAGTATCACCTGGGCACTTGATGCAACTGTTCTAGAATATCAGGGCCCATGCCAGACCTGCTGGATCAGAGTATGCATTTTAACAAAATTCCCAGGCAATTCTTAGGGATATTAAAGTTTGAGAAGCACAGATTTCAGAGACTGTTCTTTGACTTCCCGTCCTACCCTCCAACTCTGTAGCCTTTTATCTCAAACTCATCTCCTTAAGAAGCATTAACCTACCCAACTGATTGGGGCTCTTGAGAACACCGTGCTCTGTGTTATCTCTGAACCTTTGCAGGTGTTCCTTTCTCTGCCTAGAATGCTCTTCCTAACCCCCAGCTCTCTTCACCTTACTAGCTTTTATGTCCTCAATAGTTGTCTCTTCCTGCATGAAAACATTCTGAATCCTTCCCAAGAGTAGAGAAGCTACCCCTTTTGTGTGCTTCCCTTACAGCCTGCATTTAGGCTTGTTGTAACACGTATGACTGTATTTCAGATGCCTCTTTACAGGCAAAATCCTACACCAGCCTGTGTGCTCTTTGAGGGCAGAGATTCTGTTTCGTACTGCATTGTATCCCTCATACCTAGGTTAGTGGATAAAGGCATATGGGTTGTATGTCCTCAGTTGAAATTCATCGCATATCCCCTTTCTTTCTTCCATGCTGGAGAAATGGACCTCAGCACTTCAGTGCCACTTGTGAAGAATTCTCAACACCTAGTTTGAACTCAGAAGGAAAACAATTGAATTTATTATTTAGCAGTTGTGATTTCTTACTGAAATTATGCTTCAATTTCAGTGATTAGTCAGGTCTACCCCCGCCACTCCATTGGCTGCTTAGGTAAGAGATACAGATTATATGAAAGACATATAACATAAACTCTCATCTTCCCTGTATAAACCTTCTCCCACTGTACCCAACATGTATCCAGGACTGCTTAGGCAGACGGGGCTTTCGTCCAGCATAGGATGGATGATTAGAATAAAATTGTGCGCATTTTGCGGTCAAACAGGGTTCATATAAGTAAGTGGCTCTGCTCCCTTGAAGAAAACTTCTTGCCACAGAAGAATTTCCCCTCTCTCTAGGAATAAGGAAAAATAAAACACTAAGTTGTATTTTCATAAAGTGTGGTGTGGCCTACTTTATTACCATTTTATGTAATAAACATGTATAGATTTTTTAAAATATAGGGATTCATAAAATTAAATAGGTAAAATGTTTAAAATCATGGGTTTTTTCATGTATTAGTTTCATGTGGTGAGTATTTTGTTACAGTATGTAATACATGTTTACCATACAAAAGCTGTAGTAACTTTGTGTTGTATTATGCAAACAGCTGTGCAAGCCTCACATTTTCACAGCATATACAGACATTTTTTTCTTAACCTTAATTCAGGTGAAGGTACAAGTAAGAAGCTGGCGAAACATAGAGCTGCCGAGGCTGCCATAAACATTTTGAAAGCCAATGCAAGTATTTGGTGAGCTAAATTTCTTTGTATTCTGCAGCTCAAAAATATCATGGCTGAGGTGAGATTAAAAGTTTGAACATGCTCACAAAAGCAACAAAGTGAATAGTTCTCAGTACTTAGCTCTAAAATCCCATTTCCTTGTGAAAATCTGTCACCATCAAGGACAGCTTTACCCTTAAGAAATTCAATCCACCAATTGACTGCTAAATGAAAGCTTTCTCATGAACTAGGCATTTTTCCCTCTAATGGGAAGCAGCAGTTGAAAACCCCAGGTTTTCTGGTGAGTATCTTACTATGTTAAGACTGATAATTTGTACACTCGAGAAAACAAGGCATGAAGTGGAAAAAGATCAGTGGAAAATAATACTTTTAGGAATTCTAATTTGAAAGGAGACAAAGAGCTCTCCTTTTATTATGGCATGTATAACAAATACAAGAAGATGCTAAGGGGGATGTTAATTCTTGACATGATTTTTCCAAAACGAATTCGTTGTCACTTTAGGTGCTTTTGGAGATTATTGGTCCTGGAGCATCTTGTGTATCATTGGATGATGTCCTTTGGTTTCTGATGGACACGTCCTGGGTGGGGCATGCTGAGCCTTCAGATTCTTCTCTTTACATGCACTCAGTTATTCTTGGAGTTCAGTCTGGTCTGTCTGCTCATAGTTGACAGCAGAGGCCCATGGGAACTTAGGATGAGTTTTTCTCCAGCCTCAAAACTTTTGCTATAGCATGTACCTAGGTCCTCATGCAGTGGTCCTCCTGTTTCTAAACCCTCCCAGACCATTTGAGTCGTTTAGAACGAAGCATCCACAAACTTTGGATCTCGCAAAGCAATGCTTGATTCTTTGGGGTCATACATTATACTTGATTTATGCTGGCTTTCTAGACATGCCAGATGGCATGGCAAGTATTGGATTCTCCCCTCGCTGGTGATGACCATGCTATTTCTGTGCAGCCCAAAGGTCAACCCAAAGTGTTGAGTATATTTGTAGAAATGAGCGTACGGAGTGTCCTTTCTGCACATGGGCACTTCGCTTTGTCAGCAAAAAAGGCTAACAAACTTTACTATATATTTGTGCTTCTTGACAGATAAGATGGGAATTACTAAGCTGTAATCAGGCCTAAAGTGGCCTGATTTAATACAGAGACTTTCTCACTTCTCCATCACAATTATTTGGGTAGCTTCGGCGTGCAGCATTGTAAGTGAATATTCGTATCTCATCAGCCTATGAAGTTCTGGCAGGTGGAAAAGAAACTTGAAGAAGGGCCAGTAACTGAACCTCTTTTGTTATGGAAGAAATGACTCTTCAATCATGCAGGTGGTAGTAACCTTGAATGCAACTTTATTCAGTGTTAGACCGTCATCACCCAACTTAACTGGTAATTTTAAACTAGTTATAAGAGATTGTTCTCTTTTTCCCTAATCACAGTCCCCACATGCTGGAACCAGATTCATGCAGGCCATCTATTTTATGCAGGATATATGTAAATCTTAGGAGGATTATTCTAGCATGGAGCAGATGATATATCAAACAGATCTTTCTTCCATAATTCTATGAGAGGGAAAAAACAACTTTCTGACTTGTATCATTCACATTACCAGGCTAAATTTCCTGACGAATTGTTAGTCTTCCCTTTTTGTGGTTATAACAGTAGTATGCTTTATTTAAATACATTTTTATCGAGCACCTATTATATGCAAAGCACAACAAGGCTTATGAAGGTAAGTAATACATAGGACGTACCAGCAAGAATTTGACATCCTGGCCACAGGAGAGGTGTGGTGAGGGATGGACAAATTACATGTAGTAAGAGAGTATAATTTATGGTAAAATAATTTGCCTAAGAAAGGGTCAACCCAAATGTTAATAACAGTTCTAAGGAGGGAGAGATTGTTTCATTGGAGTAACAGTTTCTTAGAGGTTTCTTAGAGGAAGTGGCATTTGAGATATACCTCAGATAATGGATAGATCATATTCTCATTCAGGTGGGAAAGAAAGGCATTCCATGGAGAAGCAAAAGCAAAGGCATAGAGGATTAAATAGGAAATTCTTGTCATTTATTTAATAGTTTGGGGAAAAGTATTTTGTTTTATAACACTTTAAAAAAATGTTTAGCTTTGCAGTTCCTGACCCCTTAATGCCTGACCCTTCTAAGCAACCAAAGAACCAGCTTAATCCTATTGGTTCATTACAGGTACGTCGCACAGTTTTTCCTTACTTAACATTTTGTCTATTGAAGAAAGAGGTCATATATTGATAATATCACAAGGGCTGCACTAAGGAGTAAATATAATAAAGATAAGACGGTATAATATTTTGTTTTCCCAGTTGTGATCATTAGATATTACAGCACTAACTTGAAATGATTTTCCTATTTATTTACGTTTTGGATTTTCTTCCATATACAGTATCTGCCTTTGGTTTGTGGAATTCTCATTTGAGATCAACAGGACCTCAGTGCACATGGGTAGAGTGTTTTATACTTTAAGAATATTTCTTGCCACTCTTGTGACAAACCTCTTTCTACTTCTGTTAAGAACAGAAGACTTTATAAAGAACCCAAATCGGGTAGCCTAACTCAAGAAAGGGGAAGTAGTCTATTTGCTTATTCTACAAAACAAACAAAAAACAAAAAAACCTCAGCTTTGAATTTCTGCATGCTGAATATCCTTCTTGCAGATTATCCATGTGCTCTGTTGGACAACTCCCCTCCCTGTTACCCAGTCAGTCCTTTGGTCTGAGTTTTTCCTTAGTGTTCTCCCCCGATCTTTCCCCAGCTTTGCCCAAGTCTGTCTGTTTGCCGCCTCTGCTCATCTTGCTGTTGTTGCAATGTAGTAGTTAGCTAGCTGTGGGCAGGAAGTCTATAACTAGGAGGGAGAGGCCTTAGGAACTGCCTGACAGTGAGACCTGTAGATGTCCTCAGTGATGTTCCCCGAGAGGGCCATAGTAGCTCCTCTTTCTCTGTGAGCTCTTTGATATTTGCTCACTATGGCTTAATGGAAGAGTACCATTCCTATCCTAGCGGTAAACTGCTTCAGTTTTGGTATTGTGGGCTTGCAATATATAAAATTCAGGAGTATTTATGGGGATGTAGGGTCTTCCCCCGTTTTTTCATTGCAGAATATCATTATTCCTTTCAAACGTAGAAATAGAAATGGGATCAAAATCATGAAAGAATATCGTTTATATGATTGAGCCATTGCATAGAAAATTTACTACTAAAGCCTCATCTCAACTTTCCAGGAATTGGCTATTCATCACGGCTGGAGACTTCCTGAATATACCCTTTCCCAAGAGGGAGGACCTGCTCACAAGAGAGAATATACCACAATTTGCAGGCTAGAGTCATTTATGGAAACTGGTAGTTACTTCTTTTTACTCTTACAACTGAAGACATTTAAAATATTTTCACATGATGAATGACCATAGAAATTTCTGTTGTGATTTCCTTGCAAATATTTCTGTGGGGAAAAAATTGATACACTCTTGTTCTACTTTCTCTTTCTGCAACTGAACTTATGTATAAATATTTGACTTAAGAATTCTTATACTTCTTTTAAAACGTTTTTTTACACTTACTTATTTTTGAGAGGGGGGAGGGGCAGAGAGAGAGGGAGACACAGAATCCAAAGCAGGCTCCAGGCCCGGAGCTGTCAGCACAGAGCTTGACGCAGGGCTCAAACTCATGAAATATGAGATCATGACCTGAGCCAAAGTCGGGCACTCAACCGACTGAGCCACCCAGGCGCCCCAGAATTCTTATACTTTTTAATTTGATATTTTTTAAGAATCATGGATGATCTTGTTAATGGAAAGTAGCAAATAATTGACTCTTTACACAGTCTGCACTGATGTGTTAGTGACTTAAAAATCACTTTAGAAAAAAGCAATAGTGAATCTCTTAGGAGTTTCAACAACCATTGTCAAAGATTGGAGGACTAGAAGGTCACATTTGAAGACAAGACAATAAGAGGCTAGGTGGCAAAAAATAACGTGAGAGTAGAAAATATCCTTTTGAATGGTAGCAATTTCCATGTTGTAAAGGCCAGAAATTACAAGGAAAAAGTCACTTAATAGAGTACTAAGGAAGGTTTCTATTTTCACTTCTCCAGCATGTTTCTATCATTCTTAAAATGGTATGAAATGGAATATGAAATGGCTAGATAGTTTCAAGTAATAAACAACTGTTTGCCCTTGAGTGGCAATGTGGACCAATGCAGAAAGCACTGGACCAGAAGTGGAAACTTCTCCCATTCTTGATGCAGTCCTTGGTGTGCAAAGGTAGACCAATCACTTAATCCCTCTGGGCCTCAGTTTTTAAATCTATAAAACAAAAACATGGAAGTAGGTGATACTTACGATGTCTTTCAACTACAGTTATCTCCTAAGCCCTTTTTATTCATGTTAAAGAAATTCCACATAGCTCTCAGTGTATAGAAGATTGTAAGCAAGAAGTAGGCATCAAGAGATAACAGTTGTAATTCGAATGTGCTTTGATCAATTTGAATGCTTGGTCAGAATTAAACCAAATGGGAGTCATTGAAGCAAGGCATAGGGAAATAGAGCCATTACAAACAGAAAGTATAACTATTAAAAGGCAAAGTTTATTAAAGATAAATTGCCAAAGAAGTGCCTTCAGAAATGTAAGAGTTAACAGTTGTATGAACTACAACAAGCAAAGAGGGCAGGTCAGCAAAATAATAGTGTGTAAAAGTCATGAAATTGTTCTGATCAAAAATAATACTTTATACATCTGATTATTCTCTTTGGACATTAATTTCTTTTCTAAACCTACCTTTTTTTTTTTAATTATATAGGAAAGGGGGCATCCAAAAAACAAGCCAAGAGAAATGCTGCTGAGAAGTTTCTTGCCAAATTCAGTAATATTTCTCCGGAGAACCACATTTCTTTAGTGAGTAATGATCAAGACACCCATAATGTCAATGTGATTAAGCATCTCTTAAAGGAAATTTCCCTAGATTCCTTCTTGTATAGACACTTCAGAGTTGCAGTTTATAAAAATCTCTTCACTGTTCAGTTCTACACCACCCCAGTTTTAGCATTCATAGGGTGACTAGGTAAGAGGGCTTAGGAGACAACAATTAAATTCAAAATCATATGATAGAATCTAAAATGATAGACCACTAATGCCATTTTTGCCTTCAGATTGACAATGCATTCCCATCCCTTTGTTCATTCATTCATTTATCCACTCAGCAAACATTTAGTGAGCTCATACTGTGTGCCCAACTTTGTGTCACATACTGTGCATACTGTGAATAAGACGGTTTCTGCCCCTAGGGAGTTTGTAGCCTACTGTAAAAGACTCCAACATACTGGTCCATAGAGAGGGTGCTCAGGAACACAGGAGAAGGATCCAGCCCAGACTAGGGGTTTCAGGAAGACTTCTTGGAGGAGGTAATATCTAAACCAAGACCTATAGGATGAGAACAGGGGAAAAGAAGCCCAAAGAAGGGAGGGTGGGGGGTGGGAAAGGCACGTACAGAGACCTAGCAGTAAAACATTATATGTCATCTGGGAACCGTACCTAGTTTGGTGTGGATAGAGTGTAGGTTTGGAGGAGGGTGTCTCAAACAATGAGGCCAGAAAGGCAAGGAAGGATTAAATCTAGAAGGGACTACTATAGTAAAGAGGTGAAATTTTACCCTAAGAGTAGAGCAAAGTTGATAAAGAATTTTAACCTGGGAAGGACAGGATTAGAAGGGGAATCGCTGGCTGCTCTGTGGTGAGTGAATGAGTCTTAGAGACATGCTAGAATCTTGTTACAGAAAATGAATGAGAAACAATGGTGGCTTCTGCTAAGCTGGTGGCAGTTGAAATGGTCAGTGTAAAAATTATTTTGAAAACTGAAGTGAATGGGGCCTGGTAACTGGGTGTGGGGAGTAAGGAAAAAGGAGAAAATAAATGTTTTCAGATTGGCAACTGAGGAGATGGTGGCATCATTTAATAATATGGGGAACACACAAGGTGAATGGGATTTGAGGGGGAAAAGATAGTAAGCTAAATGCAGAATATATTGAATCTGAAGTGTTTGTAGAATATGTTAAGTAAAGATAGTAGGCAGTTGAGCAAACAAATATAGAGCTTAAGAGGTTAGGCTACACGTGACCTATTACTTGAGATTCTGATATTCAGAGATAGGTACATCTTGTGGTACATTATTAGAGCGTTTTTAGGTGGAGAATGAAGTGCAGATTATAGCAGTGCCAAGTTTTTGATAAAATAAGGGCTCATTCTTGGAGGAAAAAAGTCAAAGACGTACACAAATTAATGTAATTTTGGTTTTACATTTTTAATAGAAAAACATAAAACATTGCACTCACTTCTTTTAAAATTGGGTCAGAGATGATACCAGCACCACAAAGCACAGATTGGTTTATAGGTGAATTTTGTTAAATCTTCAAGGAAGAGATAACTTCCATTGCTATTTAAACTTTCCCAGGCAGTACATCTATAACATAGGGGAAACTTCTAAATTTGTTTTTCAAAAACAACACTAACACCTGACAATAGCAAATCCTAATGGAAAAACTTATGGATTAATCTCCCTTATAGAGAAAAACCTTAATATATTCAGTGGAACAACAAAAGAATAATATCCCAAGACAAGTTGGGTTTATTTCAGGAATGCAAGGATATATTTAAAGGTAGGTAAACCTGTTACTATAATTAATCACATTAACAGGTCAGATAAAAACAATCTTCTCAACGAGTGCCAAAAAGATACTTTACAATCATTGATAAACACAATTAAAATATCCCTGTTGTGAATCAAAATATATAACCCTCCAAAAAAAAAAATCAAAATCAGTTACTTGTTTACTTATTACATCCCTTCCCATTAATTTCAGAAATAAGACAAGGATATCCACTAACGCCATTTTTTTAACCTTGTTCTAGAAATACAAATCAATATAATTAGATAAGAGAAAACAATAAGAAGTTGAAAATCAAAAAAGAGGAGATAAAAATGATCATTAACTGCAAATATGATTTTTTTCCTATAAAATCCTGTAAAAGAAAACCTAGAATAAGAGAATTCATCAAGGTAATTGATCATAAAATTAATATATAAAATCAGTAGCTTTTTCATATTACTTACAGTTATGAAAGTAACCACCAGAATAATTAAAGAGGAAAGTTAAAAAATTGCTTCTGGAAAGGGGACCGAAGGTAGGGATGGAGCAAGGCTCGGGATTGTTGCTTTTATAATTCTGTATTATTTGACTTTTTGTTCCATGTGTGTATTCCTGAACAAAACTTCTGAAGCTTGGTAACATCATTTTATAGCAAAATAGAAATTTATCTTAAAGCATACGTAAAGAAAAATCAATAGTTTATCTATTTAAGATATTAAGAGGTGGAATAAAAACGATCTTATTTTCAACAATAGAAAAGAGGATAATGTATCGGAGAATGAACTTAAAATGAAATGTGCAAGAACCATGTGAAAAAAACTTTAAAACTTTACTGAAGGATTTAACAGAAATTGAATAAATGTAAAGCTATTTCTTTATTATCAGTAGGAAGACTCAATATTGTTAATATAGTACATAAAAAGGTGATGAAGTCTCAAAATCTACCAGAATTTGGGGCACCCAGGTGACTCATCTGACTCTTGATTTTGGCTCAAGTCATGATCTCCCTGTTGATAAGATCAGGCCCTACATCAGGCTCTGTGCTGACAGCATGGAGCCTTCTTGAGATTCTCTGTCTCTCCTTTCTCTGCCCCTCCCGTTTATTCTTTCTCTCAAAATAAATGAAGAAACAAACAAACAACATCTACCAGAATTCATTTTGGATCTCAATATAGCTTTATTGCATTTATCCAGAAAAATGAACTCTCAAAAGAATAGCCAAGAAAACTGAAAAGAAAGAGTGCCGAAGGTGGGACCAGATTTATACTGTAAATCTATAGTGTTAAAACACATACTGGTACAGGAATAGACAGAGGATAAAATAAAGAACCCATGTATAGACAATAATCCATATAAGAGTATAGTATATGATAATAGTGAGATTTCAAATCAATGGGCAAAGAGAATGGAGTATTCAATAAATGATATAGAAGCAACTTAGCCACATTTGCAAAGAGGAGGATAGAGGAAGGTGTATATATCTGTGTGTGTATGTGACATACTTAGGTTGCTCCCTTATTCCTTATATATAAATAAATTTCAGATGGATAAAAAAACATGAACATATGGGGCTCCTGGTTGGCTCAGTCGGTTAAGCGTCCAACTTCGACTCAGGTCATGATCTCAACGGTTCATGGGTTCGAGCCTCGCATCGGGCTCTGTGCTGACAACTAGCTCAGAGCCTGGAGACTGCTTTGGATTCTGTGTCTCCCTCTCTCTTTGACCCTCCCCTGCTCATGCGGTCTCTCTCAGAAATAAACAAACATTAAAAAATTTTTTTTGAAAAAAAATGTGAACATAAGAATTGACAGGCTCTGTGCTGAGAGCTCAGAGCTGATCCTGCTTTAGATTCTGTGTCTCCCTCTCTGTTCCTCTCCTCGCTCGCGCGTGCGCTCTCTCTCTCTCTCTCTCTCAAAACATTAAAAAAAAACTGACCATAAGAATTGAAACCAAATATGAGAAAACTTGGAGGAGCTTTATTTTAAAAAATTCTTAGCATAGGGAAGAACGTTTTAGAACTTAAAACTTTTTTTTAATTTTTTAAATGTTTTATTTATTTCTGAGAGAGAGAGAGAGAGAGAGACTGCGTGAACAGGGGAGGGTCAGAGAGAGAGGGAGATGCAGAATCTGAAACAGGTTCCAGGCTCTGTGCTAGCTGTCAGCAAGATCATGGCCTGAGCCGAAGCTGGACGCTTAACCGACTGAGCCACCCAGGCACCCCGGTAGAACTTAAAACTTATAAGCTATAAAGTAGTGTAAGATTTATAAATTTGACTACACAAAACCTATTATACATCAATAAAATCTGTAAATAAAACCAAGAACAAGAAAGTGAGAAGAAATTATTTTGAACACTGGTCTATAAATGGACGTTTTCTGTACCATGTAAAAAGCTATTACACATCAATAAAAAAAAGATAACCCTGTAGAAGAAATGCAAATGGTTAAAAAAAAAAAAATGATCAGCTTCATTCATGGACATTAAATGAGATACTATTTTCACCTTTTAGATTGACAAAACCTACAGAGTTAAATAGTATCTGCTGTTGGCAAGGGTATTCAAAAATAAGCACCCTCCAAGACTGTTGATGGAGGTATAAATTGGTTTAGAAATAAGTCTGGAAGTATTTATCAAAATTAAAAGCTTACATGTTCTTTGACTCAGTTCTACCTCCAGAAATTATTCTACAGATAAAGTCATCCAAGTGCAAAAGAGTTTTATAACATTGTTAGTAAAAGCAAGAAATCAAATAACCCAAAATCCATAATTGAAGACTGGTAAGATAAACATGGTGCATATATGCTCATTGACATGAGAAAAATGAACAAGATGTAAAAGAGTAGGCTATCATTTTTGTTTAAAAATATTGTGCTTGAATTTAGAACAGTTATAGAAGGATATTGAAGAAATGTTTTCACATTAAGGAACTCTATGGAGGGAAACATAAGTCTTCTGGATAGGGATGGTAAGCAAGGGAGACTATTTTACATTATATATTTGTTCCTATTGCAATTACTATATCAAAAAATTAAAATTTTTAAACGAATTTTAAATTTCCAAACAAGGAATATAAAATTCTATTTAAAGACCCTGAATAGCCAAAGTAATGTTGTTTGCATCACAACTCCAGACTTCATGCTGTACTACAAAGCTGTAATCATCCAGACAGTGCAGTACTGGCACAGTAACGGACACAATCAGCAATGGAACAGAATAGAGAACCCAGAAATGGACCCCTAAATGTATGGCCAGTTAATCTGCAACAAAGGAAAGAGTATCCAATGAAAAAAAGACAAGTCTTTTCAGATAATGTTGGGAAAACTGGGACAGCAACACACAGAAGAATGAAACTAGACTACGTTCTTAATACCATACACAAAACAAATTCAAAATGGATGAAAGACCTACAGGAAGCCATCAGAATCCTAGAGGAGAAAACAGGCAGCAACCTCTTCGACCGTGGCCACAGCAACTTCTTGACGTGTCTCCAGAGACAAGGGAAACAAAAGCAAAAATGAACTACCAGGACCTCATTAAGATGAAAAGCTGCTTCACAGTGAAGGAAATCATCAACAAAACTAAAAGGCAGACTATGGAATGGGAAAAGGTATTTGCAAATGACATATCAGATAAAGGATTAGTATCCAAAATCTGTAAAGAACTTAGCAAACTCAACACCCAGAAACCAATACAGAAGTGGGCAGAAGACATGAATTGACACTTTTCCAGAGAAGACATCCAGATAGCCAACAGACACATGAAAAGATGCTCAACATCCCTCATTATCAGGGAAATACAAGTCAAAACCACAATGAGATACCACCTCACACCAGTCAGAGTGGCTAACATTAACAACTCAGGCAACAACAGATGTTGGCAAGGATGTGGAGGAAGGGGAACACTTTTGCATTGCTGGTGGGAATGCGAACTGATGCAGCCATTTTGGAAAACAGTATGGAGGTTCTTAAAAAAATTAAAAATAGAACTACCCTATGATGCAGCAATAGCACTACTAGCAATTTATCCAAAGGATACAGGAGTGCTAATTCATAGGGACACATGTACCCCAATGTTTATAGCAGCACTTTCAACAAATTATGGAAATTTAGTCAAATTATGGAAAAAGCCTAAATGTCCATCAACTGATGAATGGATAAAGATGTGGTTTATATATACAATGGAATACTACTTGGCAATGAGAAAGAATGAAATCTTGCCATTTGCAGCAACGTGGATGGAACTGGAAGGTATTATCCTATGTGAAAGAAGTCAGTCAGAGAAGGACAGGTATCATATGTTTTCATGTGGAACTTGAGAAACTTAACAGACCATGGGGGAAGGGAAGGGGAAAAAAGTAGTTACAAATGAAGGAGGGAGGCAAACCGTAAGAAACTCTTAAATACAGAGAACAAACTGAGGGTTAATGGGGCTAAGGGGAGTGCAGGGAGGGGAAAATGGGTGATGGGCATTGAGGAGGGCACTTGTTGGGATGAGCACTGAGTGTCGTATGTACGCAATGAATCATGGGAATCTACCCCCAAAACTAAGAGAACACTGTATATATACACTGTGTGTTAGCCAACTTAACAATGTTATATTTATAAATAAAACTTAATAAATAAGACTAAGGATAGCTTGCTCTACTTTGTTTTTGGCATAAGATATGAAAGTAATTTGAGAAAAAACTAATGCGGTAGAAAGGAATGGATAAAAGGGAGAATAAGGAAAAGGGGGGAAGGAGAAGGAAAACAGAAAAACCATAAACTCATTTGGGATCTGGGAAAAGTCTGATAAGAATTTTTGACATCCTTCCATTCATCTGAGTGACTTGTTCTTCTCAAACCTCACTTGCACATTGCACCTTTTCTACAGTTTCTTTGTTTTCTGCTTTACAGCTGTCAGTTACAGTGATTGGTTGGTATTTAATACAGGACATTCTAAAGAACATGGTTTTATATTTTAATTTGTAAATTGCTCCATTAGGCAGATTCAGTTATTTGGAGGTTGGTTTGCACTGCTCTTGAATTTCTTAGACATCTTTTTTTTTAATATCTTATACATTGTAATGTAGTCATCAAAATTTGGCTGAGAGACCTTTGTCCTACACAAAAGTATTTTTAAATACTTCCGGTATATTATTGTATGTGTTTTTTTAACATGGTGGTATTTGTTAAGAGTGTACTTGGTGTTGTCTAGTTTAAACGAGAAGGTTAACCAAATGGTTTCCATTTAAACATGCTCTCTTTATAGAGCATTAAATGTGAGTGCCTGATAAATACTTTTAATTATATTGTAGCATTAGAACTCAGTCTGAGTTAAGAGTCTTAATTTTCATCTCTGTTTTTCAGACAAATGTAGTAGGACATTCTTTAGGATGTACTTGGCATTCCTTGAGGAATTCTCCTGGTGAAAAGATCAACTTATTGAAAAGAAGCCTCCTCAGTATTCCAAATACAGATTATATTCAGCTGCTTAGTGAAATCGCCAAGGAACAAGGTTTTAATATAACATATTTGGATATAGGTATGATTTTTTTCTTTGGCTTACCTCAAAGCCTGTTTCTTTTTCAAATATATTTGAGAAACAAAACCTGTATTATAATTTCTTTCATTGACCAGGGATTATAAATATAAATATATATATAAATTCATAAATATATTTTATTTATAATATGTATTTTATACATTTATATAATTAGAACAGTAATATCATTGATATGTCTGTCCCATTCTTATAAATAATACTATTAGCTAACATCTATACAGTTATAACAGTAAAACTGTAGCTCATGTTTATAGTTTTACTATAGGCCAGGCACTGTTGTGAGGATAGTACATATTTCCACTTAGTGAATTCTCAAACTAATCCAGTGAAGTAGATCTATTAACTTCACATATAAGGAAAGAAAGGCACAGAAAATGTTCAGAAACTTGCCTGAGATGACAGCTTGTTAGTGGTGGAGTCAGATTAAGTGAGGAGTCCCTGCAGATACAGTGTCTATTAAACTAGCCCTGATGGAGAGCTTGACAAATAAAAAGGCACCCACATTTCTAGAACAAGTACCAAGGTTGTGGGGGCCAGACCCCTTCTCTCTACTTTGTCACCTATGCCCATTCAAGGACATCAGTGGGGACAAGTACTTGATAGCTCCATCCCAGCTATCATCTTCTAGATTTCCTCAAGCTCTTAATCATTTAGATAGACAACTGTGGACAGATTAGATAGCAAGTCAGTTTGGATTTTAATTAGCTTTATAAAGCCAGCCTGTGTTTGTGGCATGTGTGCGTGTGCAGTCAGTGTCTTGATTTAACATGTGTAATATGTGAAGAATTTGATATCCTTACTCCATCTCCAGTGGGCTGTGGCATCTAGCTTGAAGAAGCTGCTAGCTGTGGGGTTTAGGTGCTTAAAGGACTTCTGATTGTCTGCTACTTCCCGACTGAATGATCGTCAAGTGCAGTGTTTTAATATACTGAGAATGATGCAGAACCTGGGAATTTAGTACAGACACATTGTCAGAAAAGGTGGCTGATGAGAAACGATTCCTTCAATAAATATTTATTAAGTATCTACACTTTGTTGGGTGTTTAAGATACAGAGATGAATAAGCCATGTTAGAATAGGACTATAGATGGTTTTGAATCTGAAAAAAGAAGGAAACTTAAGATGGCCTTTGAGATTATGAATTAATGATGCCTTTAAAATGAATCTTAACCAGGGCGCCTGGGTGGCTTAGTCGGTTAAGCGTCCGACTGTCGCTTAGGTCATGATCTCGCGGTTTGTGGGTTTGAGCCCCGCGTCGGGCTCTGTGCTGACTGCCAGCTCAGAGCCTGGAGCCTGTTTCAGAGTCTGTGTCTCCCTCTCTCTCTTACCCTCCCCTGCTCACGCGCTCTCTCTCTCCCCTAGAAATAAATTAAAAAAAAAAAAAGAAAGAATCTTAACCGATTTTGAGAACTAAGTTGTTCTTGTAAATATAGAATAGCAATCTAAAAGCCACAGTCAGCTAATTTGGCCTAACTTTTTTTTTTAATTAAAAAAAATTTTTTTAATTAATTTTTCTGAGAGACAGAGCAAGCTGGGGAAGGCAGAGAGAGAGAGGGAGACACAGAAGCAAGCCCCAGGCTCCAAGCTGTCAGCACAGAGCCTGGCACAGGGCTCAAACACACAGACTGTGAGATCAAGACCTGAACCAAAGTCAGATAGACTGAGCCACCCAGGCGCCCCTAATTTGGCCTAACTTCTATTCAGTTACCTTCAAAGGAACCTAGATGTTCTCCAAAAAAGATATGCAAATGGCCAACAAGCATACAATAGCTGTCACTATTATTAGTCATCAGGGAAATGCAAATCAAAGGCACAGAGGTACCAATTCAGACCCACTGGGATAACTATGATGAAGAAAATAGAAGATAACAAAGGTTGGCAAAGATGTAGAGAAATTGTAGCCCTCCTCACTGCTGGTGGGAATGGAAAATGGTTGAGCTGCTGCGAAAACAGGAGTTTTGCTGCTTTTCAAATGAGTTAGCATATGAACTAGCAGTTCAGCTAGGTATATACCCAAAAGAATTATAAACTGGTATTCAAATACGTGTACATACATGTTCATAGTAGTACTGTTCACAGTAGCCAAAAGGTGGAAACAGCCCAAATGCCCGTAAGCAGATGAATGGATAAATCAGTTGTGGGATATACATACAATTAAATATTATTCAGCCACGAAAAGAAATGAAGTTCTGCTACATGCTACAACTTGGATGAACCTCAAAAACATACTAGCTGAAAGAAGCTAGACACAAGAGGGTCATGTTATATGGTACCATTTATATCAAATATCCCGAGTAGGTTAATCCACAGATGGTCGCCGGGAGCTCCCGGAGAGGCAAAATAGGGAGCACCTGTTTGATGTGTCTGGTGTTTCTTCTTGGGGAAATGAAATGATGAGAATGTTGTGTAACTAGTGAGAGGTGGTGGTTGCGCAACACCGTGGATGTACTAAATGCTACTGAATAGTTTACTTTAAAATGGTTAACATTATGTTATGTGAATTTTACCTCAGTTTAAAAGGGAAAAAAAAAGCCTCAATGCCAGCACTAGAAAGCCTCTACACACATGAAATAACCACTGTATCTGGAGGTCTCAGGTTATAGTGACTCTAGCTGAAATAGCATTTAATCATGACCACTTTGAACAAATGGTAACTCACCTGTTTCTACCTCTTTCCCTTGTGTCATCTAACCATCTTTAGTGACAGTGATTCATGTGTTGATGAGAACATTTGTTTCCTGGGTTTAGGTATTTTTAAAACACCCTAACCCATATGCAGTATGGAACTAGACTATCTGCACAGATGTATAGCGAAAGAACATGAAGGCGAAAGAGAAGTCTTGCTCGGAACCTTGTATTTCCTGGCTCAGAGGTCTACTGAAAGTAATTCTAGCCTTGATTGGGAAGAACACAATCTCTCTAGTTCTCTAGCAAATGGTTTTTTTCCTCTCTAAAGTCACTGCGCTCCAATTTGCAAACACTGTTCAACTAGCCACATTAGAATTGCCTTGGGAGCTCTTAGGAGGAAATGCAAGAATCTAGCTACTCCAACCCCAGGCCCTGGGTGTCTGATTGAGCTAGCTGGAGTGAGGCCGAGGCACCTGCATTTCTTTGGAGCTCCCTCAGGTAAGCACAGCTGTGTTTGAGAGCTACTAGAGTTGAGCGATGGTGTTTTGGTGTCTGTTTCTATAAGGATGATAAAGATGAAGAAGCAGAGTCATGTACCATAAGTCTGTAGACGAAGACAATAGTAAAAACTTGTTTTCACAAACAATCTGCTTTCTATCCACTTGGCCTTAACTGTCCCGTTTGAATGTGTCATTACAGAAGAGCTGAGTGCCAATGGACAGTATCAGTGTCTCGCTGAACTATCCACCAGTCCCATCACAGTCTGTCATGGCTCCGGGATCTCCTGCGGCAATGCCCAGAGCGACGCGGCTCACAATGCTTTACAGTATTTAAAGATAATAGCGGAAAGAAAGTAAGCCTGAAGCGACTTAGAAGGGCCCCTGTAGCACATAAGAAGTCCCCCTTTTGCCCCTTCCCAAGTAAAACGTTTACTATGTTTGAGTTTGTGTGTCGTTTCTAAATCTCTTCATAGATTCCATCAACACCCCAGATTTAATGATCTCCTGGTAGTTATTAAGCTCTTTTTAATGGCTTCAACTTTGTATTGGTATATTGTATTTATAAACTTTGTACCATAGGCAGAGTGTAGCGCCCATTTTACAATGCCGTGTACATAGAAGGAAGAAACTGCATGTTGTTGATGATGAAGATGACAAAGACTATAACTACTGTTAGCAACAGTCTTCCTTACTGGTGCTTCACCCCTTCTTTGCGCAAGGCTTTGTAAGGGGAATTCGAAGGAAGCCCCTTAGAACCACAGTGTTGAGGAACGCACGGTCAGGCATCTGTTGAATGTGATTGTTGAATTTCAGGGAACATGATTGGTCTGCTGTGCATTTGAATCCGTGTAATAAAGAGCTGTTGTTATAATGGGTTCTGTTCGTTTTATTAAAGTGATACTGACCTGACTGTGGCCCCTTCTTTTTAGCCGTTCTTGTGAGTGACATAATGTGGATATTCTGCTATTTATCTATCTCTAGTGTACTTCTGAAGGTCAAAGTTGAGGAAAAAAACCTATGGCCTGAGCAAAAATTGACAAATGTATACATGATGAATCACTTCCATATTTTCTCTAAACAAGTGCAACTTTGTCATTTTCTTCAACATAACCATTCATAGAGGAGTTAGCAGTTGAAAAAGCATTAGTAAGATTACAAAAAAAAAAGCTTAGAATTGAATTATAATTCAATTCAGTTACAAGAATGTTTTGAACAAAGCAATGAATGATTGAAAGGTTAAGAGCTAAAGCCTCATGAGCAAATTATAATTTTGCCTCATGTTTCCATATATCATCATCTAACACCTCAAGCTGTCCATCTGCCAGTGCCAGTGGATGGTGCTACTTTTGTAGATTAGATGGAAGTCTCAGGCCTGTTTTCAGAGCTCAGGGAAAGCTTCAGAGAGCAAGAGAGCACTATATGAGAAAGAACACTTAGTTTTGTATTATCAGCTATACATGTCAATCAGATCATGGAATTCTAAGGATCCATTTTTGATGAGGTTAAGGAAGACATAGCCTGGAAACAAAGTTTAGGCATAAACAGGAATGTAAAATAATGACTGAAGAGGGTAAGTTGAGAAAAGATTTCATAAAGCATTGGAAAAAGAAGAGATCTTGGTTTGAGGTGCAGGGAGAAGACTGAAAGGATTATAATTTGGTTCTAAATAGTACTTATGAAATGATGAGGTCTGAGTATAAGGTGCCCAGAAATCCTACTCCTCCTGCTGACTATGTTTGTCCTGCTGCTTTCTGGCTCTGGAGGAAGCATGTGTTTTTAAAGATACTATTCAAATGTCACCTCTTGGGACTTTCTAGGAAGTTAGCTGCACCATCAAGTGATCTTTAATAGCATTTTGTTCACCCTTTTCTTAAGGCTCTTAACCAATCTAATCAGTTTCACCTGTTAACCACATTAGGTAAATTTCCCAAATAGGCTTTGAACAGGCAACGTTGCCATAGCTTCAGTTCTAACATGGCATCAGTTCCAACACATGATAGGCATCAAGTGATAAAGGAATGATGAAGATAGCAATAGCCCAATGGGTTAATACGAATTTAATAAATTATGAACACCAATGTGCCCAGCACTATAACAGGCTTCTGGGATACAGTGTTGACCCACATTACATTATGTAGTAAAGACCCACTCGGGCTCACTGATAGCAAGGGACATGATAGGACCCCAATTAATGGAGGGTACATAGCTATCGTACATAACTGTCAGAAACCAGATGACTGTAATTATAATAAGTGGCCAGTCGGGTGCCAGCCTGAAAGATATGGAGATGATCAATAGAACGTGGTAACACAGATGGTCTGCAAGGGTACTGCTCAATCTGTACGGTCAAAATAAACGAAGATGGATGATCAGTAGGCTGACAGCAGTCACCTCAATTAAAATCCCTTGCCCAGTTTCCAGACCCAAGCCAGTTGCTGGACTCAGACCCATTGACTGAAAGGAGAGTCTGAGTCCCCAAGAGGAAAAACCCTGCAAAGGACCAATGACATAGTCTGTGGTGCCCAGTGCAAAATGAAAATCTTGGGCTCCCTGATAAAAATTTAAGAATTTTAAGACAAAGATGGCAGAATATTAAACTAACAATGAGAACTTTCTAAGCGTGGAGTGCTGTGTAACTACACAAGTCGCACATCCATGATGCTGGCTGGCCCTGGCTATCAGACCTCGAAAGTAATTCGGAAATTGAAGAGTCACTTCATTCAAGGTCAGTCACATCCCCTTCTTTTGGCAGGCTGAATCAAATACAGGCAAACAAATATTTGACTTTCTTACTCAGATTTGGGACAAATCTGAAGGGCCTTCCAGCCTCAGAGTTTCCCATGGGGTCAACTGAGAACTTGGTTGAGATAATATCACAAACCAACTCCTCCTCTGCTCAATCCCCATTTCTTCTCATTCTTTCCACAGATGATGAGCCCCAAAACATTTGCTAAATAAGCCTCCTGTTCCAGCCCCCTATCTCCTTCTTAGAGTCTGCTCCATCAGGAGCCCAACCAAAGATACAGAGTATAGCTTAGTGAGAAAAGATATTAATAGGAAAAAAAAAAAAATCAGATTCATCATGTAATTTATAAATCATACAAAATTACAACTCTGGAATACTCTGGCTTCTCCTTAGGTATATCTTTTGCCTTTTATTAAAATTTCTAGGGGCGCTTGGGTGGCTCAGTCGGTTAAGCGTCCCACTTCGGCTCAAGTCATGATCTCACAGTTTGTGGGTTCGAGCCCCACATCGGGCTCTGTGCTGATGGCTAGCTCAGAGCCTGGAGCCTGCTTCAGATTCTGTATCTCCCTCTCTCTCTGACCCTCCCCTGTTCACACGGTCTCTCTCTCTCTCAGAAATGAATAAAAAAAAAATTACAAAATTTCTAGAGAAAGGGTTGGTTATGAATTTGTAGGCAGTTTTTTTCTTTTGTGGGCCCCTGTGGGTGGTCTCTGTATGTGCTCCCGTGGCAAGGCATATGTGCATTTGGAAAAAATTCCTCCTGACATCTAAAAGATACGTAAGAAATGAAATATAAATTATCCTAACTTGAGGACAAAGCCCACCATGAATAAGCCTACATCTAGAATAACAGTGTATTTCAAGGGCCAAAGAACAGTTAAAAACCAAGAAAGCACCCATATTGCAATGAGTTCTAACAAGTATACATTCACAGCATGAAAGCTTCTGAGTATTAGAACAAAAAAAGCAGCTTTTACTAGATTGAGAGAACAGTGAATTTATTTGGACACATTAAAGTATAGCTTTACCTGAAAAATTGCAAACTTGTGGAAGTTATTGAATATGTAGTCCACTCGGAACATTTTACTAGCTTGACAGCATATCCAGGATTATTCACAGATAGGAGATCACAATGGCTTTCTGTCCAGAGGTAAAGCTCATATCAAAACAAGGAAGTTTGGTCAAACTCATGGATCTGTAGAACGGACTGGTGGTTGCCAGAGGTGGGGGGAGGGGGGGGAGGGGCGGGTGGGTGAAATGCATGAAGAGGGTCAAAAGTTACAAACTTCCAGTTATAAATAAGTCAGGGGAATGTAACATACAACATGCTGACTGTAGTTAAGAATACTGAATTCTATATTTGAAAGTTGCTAAGAGAGGAGATCTTAAAAGTTTTCGTCACAAGAAAAAAATTTGTAACCATGTGTGATGATGGATCTTATTAACTAGACTTATTGTGATCATTTTACAATATATCCAAATACCAAATCATTTGTGTTATACATCTGAAATGAATATAATACTATATGTCGATGATACCTCAATTTTTTAAAAAAGAAAGGGAGGGTTTGGGCTTGCTGGAACAGTAAAGCTAGCCTTGATTTAATATATTTAATTTACCATATCCTGATTTATTTCCCTTTGTAATTTTTTTAAGGTTAGAATTTATCAAAAGGGTCATTTACAAAGAACACGTGCAATGATCTGGCAGCTGCTACTCACTTAATTTGAATATCAGGTCAATAGAATGGAATAAATGCATGTTTACCTGTCTGGCTTTTTTGGTCTGGGGCAAGAATAGAGTGGAAAGATAACCTGAATAAGCTAGTTCTCCTTCTCATGTTAATCAGAGTGAGGGCACAACTGCAATGTGTCTATTGCATTCTGTGCTGTTAGAGAGAACTGAAATTTGGAAGAAATGAACATATATCTCAGGAAAGAAAAGGGGTGGAGCAGAAGACAGGCAAACTGTTTTCAAGTATGTGGGTTAAAACCAAGGAAAGGCATGGCCTTAAAGAGGTCTCATAGAAATTTTTATAGAAGATGGAAAATTAGAACTCATTTAGGTGGTAGATTAAGAATTTAGAATTAGAGGTGCCTGGTGGCTCAGTCAGTTGAGCGTCCGATTCTTCATTTCAGCTTAGGTCATGATCTCATGGTTCATGAGTTTGAGCCTTGCATTGGTCCTTGCACTGACAGCATGGAGCCTGCTTCAGATTCTCTCTCTCTCTCTCTCTCTCTCTCCCCCTCCCCCTAAAAATAAATAAACTTAAAAAAAAAAGAATTAAGAATTAGATAGTAGATTAAGAGCAAGGTTTTATTCCAAATATTTGTATTTGTGAACTTGTGCCCTCATTCTGCTGCAATCTGCCTTATGGCCAGATGGGGGTGTTACTGCACAGTAGTTAGTGATCTGAAATTCAGAAATTGATAGGAGTCTCCATCCATGCCTGATTGCTAGGATTGTTTTGTTTTGCTTTATATTTCTAAAGAATAAAGGTAGAATTTAATGGTAAAAGAAAGCTGACTAAGGATTTAATACTGTGTATACGCAAATAAACAGGGCTTAAGCAATAAAGGACTTAAGCAAATTCCCTCTTTTCATTTGGTAATGGTAGGATGGTAGTAAAGATTAGTGTTAATCAAGAATACCAACTCATGTGGTGGTACTCATGTCCTATTGACCATCTTCTATTTTGAAGCCCTAGGCTTGATACCAATTCATACTGAGCTTTAGGGTCTTTAAGAATAATATAGCTAGACTTTATTAAGGACAAACTATGCTTCCTGACATTGAACCAAACAGCTTGCATGTATCTATAGGCCATTTTTCATTCCATAATTAAATGAGCAGCTCTGAAGTCAGACTGCCCGGGGCTGAATTCCAGCTCCAGTACTTAAACTGCTGTGTGATTTTGGATGCATTGCTTAACCTTCCCATTCTTGCATTCTCTCATCTCTAATATAAGAGTAATTGACTTCTGCTTCCAGCATGATTGCATAACAGATTCTGGGCGAGCCTTGCCACTATAAGCAACTGCAAAACTGGGCAGAAGACCCAAGGCTGTTTTCAGACATTGGATCACAGCACAGACTGTTAGGCTGAGAGAGGGGAAACACAGGAA